TAACCTTTATTAGAAAGTAGTGCTTGAGCTACACTCTATAACCGTGCTCATATTTAGAAAATTAGGTGGGGTGGGTTTTATTTAGGTAAAAGACAAGCATCAATTTAAAATATGTTTTTTAGTTGAGGCTTCTCTAGCCTTGGATGAGATAGCTTAATTTGTACTTTGTTCGTGTTCATAGTAAATTATGAGAAGTAAAGATGGAATTATTTTAAAAAAATTGACAAATAAAAAAAAGCTTATAAGATAAAATATTTTAGGCTTTATACATATCACTCATATTTTTCAATTATAAATATTCATAAAATATAAAAAGCAGGAGTGCCACTGTGTGTAAGAATGTAGTAGTCCTAACCTTGCCGGGCAATTGTAAATGAAACGATGTAAGGAGGGATGAAAGAGTAAATATATAAATAAATAAAAGGTCCTAACCTATTAAAAGCAAGAAAAACTGAAACTGAATAACAATTTTCTTTACAACCACACATTTTCACTTATCACACTACCAGTCAATTCAACCAATTGGCTGAACGTGGTTATTTGTGGGTCCCTCTTAGATTGCTTTCGGGCCGATTCTGCATTTACTCTTGTGTGTGGTTTAATTAGTTGTGTGTGTGTTTATTTCAGTTTCGAAAAAAAAAAACACTACCAGTCAATTCACAATGTGCATTATTGAAACTCATCTAATCATTCATTCCTGACTCTGTACCGAAGTTGTTATAGAATTGTCTGTTAAATAACTAAAAGTAATCCAAAACGTAAAATCAACTCCTATAAAAATAATTTTCACAAAATTACTTTTTTATGTGGTGCACACACATTGTTTGTACATATCACTAGGAATATTTAATTTGCGAATCAAGGGAATAACCTAAGGCTCAACGTCACGATCTTGCATTCGGGCTCTTTTGGCACCCAATCAACCAATTTAAGCCAGTTGAGTTGGCCAGGTCCGTTCTAGATGTAGGTCGAGAGATTAAATCCGTCGGTTTGCATCCTTATTCAAGAGTATAGAATAGGAGTAGAAATAGAATAGAAATTATTTTAAAAAAAAAACACACCCAATCACTGTGCGTTTTTGTAAGGAGTCCATCATGACAAGACACCTTCACTAATCCTATCTACACTTTTGCTTATTCGTTTTCATTGTCCTTTGCTTTTCTTTACTTTTTAAGTATTTTGTCTAACTAATGTCATTTCACTTTTCTTTTTTTTTTTTCCCATTTTTGCAAGTTGAAAAGTAATTTTCTTTTTATTTCACTTGTGTGCTTAAAAGTAACTTACCCAACATTTTTATTTTCTTTATATCATACCTTTTTTATTATTATAAATAGGATCAGTTGTATGACTCCACCTACTCCTTTGATGACAGAAATCTGGAACTTATGGGTAACACATAAAGCATCATAGCTTACCTTAACAAATCCTATGTGCATAGATTAATACCAAAATATTAAAATTGAGATTTAAAATTTCACAAATTATTAAACAAACTTCTACAAATTCATAGGATAGCAAGGATGAAGAGAAAGAGTAGAACAGCAACAAATTATTACTTTTGATGTCCTTTATTAGGCTTTTCGTTTCTTTTTTTTTTTCCTTTATTTATTCAAAGAGAGATTCCAAACCCTACAAACCCTACAAGGAGAAAAGTGGAAGAAGACTTGACATTTGAACAAGTGATGCCATAATTACCTAGTTAACATCTTTACTAGACAAGTTAATGGGTCGGATTTTATCTATATCCAATCCAGACCTTATAAGAGCGTCATGGGTTAGGGTAAGCTTTGATTTTTTATGATCTACACTCAAATTCAGATTCAAATCAGAACTTATCCAAACCCTATGTATAAATAATTTATAAATAATATATATATGTAAATTTATAAAATAATCTAATGTTTTATGGCCATTAGATTCAAAAAAGTAAGATTTGATGACTGTTAGATTAAAGGATATACTCTTAACTTAAGAAAACACCACCTAATCTCGCACCTATCTATTGTGTGCCTTTGTGAATGCAGATGAAACTTTAAAAAAAAATAGAAATAGATGATAATAGTTCTATCTTTGACTTCAAAATATTACATTCAACTTCTTGAATATTAATTTTATTATTTGGAAACAAAAATTGAATGGTATCTATATTATTTTTGAACACTATATATTTTTAAAATATTTTAATTTTAATTTTTTACTGTATGTTCATAAAAATACCCACAGGTATCCATTGGATGCCCACACCCATGAGGGTCCAAGTTTATCTTTTTAGACCCATAAGAGTCTAAGTCTAGGTCTAGGTTTAGATCTAACCAAAATTTAAGAAATCTGGATCTGAATCAACGAATCCAATACAAGTCCTATCTATTGAAATACCTATCCTATACCTGGCAATTGGGCGGGTTGGACGGATTTTGGGCGGGTTAATGTTGGGTTTTCATTTAAATGGGTTACACCCAACCCGCCCAACTTTATAGTGGGTTAATTTTGGGTTGGGTCATATTGGGTCATCTCAAACCCATGACCCAAATATGACCCAATATATTAATTAATAGATTTTGATACATAAACTCTCTCAAATACATTTTTACATACAAAAAAAAAAAAAAATTCACACACATAAACACATTTTCACATAGATACACATAATTTTACACACTAAAACACTCATAGACACAAAAATATACTTACTTCTTAAGCTATTTTGAAATATGTTATTTTTACACATACAAACACATTACAATACACACTAATATACTTTCACAAATACACACACATACTAACTATTTAAACTACTTGGATGAACTCTCTATTTTTTATACAAGTAAGGATTTTCAAACTGGGTATAGCCTTGGTCCAAACTAAGAGATATTTTAAAACTCAAATTCTTATTTATTATTGCATGGGACACATGTCAATCAACTAAATAATGTAACGAGTGTAACGGAAAAAATTATAACAAAGAATCTCTTGTCAAATAATTAGCTTTCAATAAACCATATCTTTATAATTTCAACATTTAGCATAAAAATCTTTAGTGAAAGGATTAACAAAAATTTGGCTATTACTTCAATATTTAATCGCTCCATAAACGAATTTTTACAACACTTGTCTCAGAAATGTTTATTGATATATATTTGCCATAGGGACGACTCTCGGTCAACTAGTCATAGGCTGATGATTCTTGCTCTACAATAGCAGAGGTCAAATTACGTTTAAATGATAATTGCTAACCCCTTTACTAAACCATCAAAAAGTCCAACCAAAATACAGGGAACTTACTCCAAAAATTAACACTTTTTTTTTTTGCCCCGGGGTTTTTTTGGGGGGGGGGGAGGTGGTGGTGGTAACACTTTTGTACACAAGAATGTCTTTTTTCATGTGTCAACAGGATGTGTTATACTTGCATAAAAAACATACAAAGAGGGAAAAGTTGGGTAATGGGTGCCCAACACAAATACCCAAACCGCCCAAAATATATATGTGTTTTTATTACCCAACCCAAAATTTACCCAATACCCAACTTACCCAACCCAACCTCTTAAATTAGTGGGTGGGTTGGGTGGGTTGTTGGGTTTTGGGTATAATTACCAGCTCTAACCTATCCTTTCCAAGTAAGTTAGATCTTCAAGACTTCTTTGGAAGGAAAATAGGCAGAGAATCTATAGTAGTGATTGCCCGCAGAAGAATTTCACTTCTAGTACCTTTTTTTTTTGTGGACTCTTTTCTTTTTACGGTCAATTAGATAATATAAGTGAAGCCGTAGTATTGTTAATACGAAGTAAATGATTGGGTGCCTCACAAACCCTAAGTTACAATGATCCTTATGTACTTTAAATCCTTAAATCAGACAAATAACCTATACTTCATTGTATATTTACAAATAAAAGTCAAATGTACACTAACTCCAAACAGAGCAATTTCTTATCCTTACTTTTTTGTTTACTATAGCCTTTATCCTTATTTGGATGAAACTTCTTATCCAATGTATATTATGCGACTAATTTTATTTAGTTTCTTTTAACATGTTTTAAACACTTTTTTTTTCACTTCTAACGAGGGAAATGTGAGATTTAAAAAGCGAGGAGGGAGAAGGGGATTATAACCTAAGATTTCTAAATCTTGGGACCTTAATTTCAGCTACTAAACGAAGGTTTCCTTCTCAGACTAACATATTCCTAACACTTCAACCATGTCATTTTACTACTTAAGTTCATTGATTTTTCTAAAGTTCATCAATATAAATAAAAATAATAATTTTATCATAATTATGAGACCAAGAAATTGTTTTCCAATAACTGGCCAATAAAGAATGGCTCATAACGATAAATTTTGTTTTTCCAATACATTTAAGACCAACAACCAATTATGCATTTTTTTTTTTATAGAATTGAGATGGATGTACAATTAAGTCAATTAATAACAATAAGTTATGATTATTTTATTTTATTTTATTAACTTTTTAATTTCTAGATTGATAAACAAGTCAACATCCTAAACAACCATATCAACAAATGACGAGTTAGAATAATTTTAGTTTTTTTTTTTTATATCCTCAAGGCTATATACAAGTTAAAATCAAGATAAGCAACTCGAGTAAATTAATAATGATGTGGTGAGGTAATTTATTTGTTCGATACAATCGAGATCGATAAACAAGTGAACGTGTACAAAAAACTCAAACCAATTAATAATGACCCGTTAGGATTTTTTAATACCCATTATATATTCGAGATAAATAAACAAGTGAATATCGATCGATAATTCAAATCAATTAATTACGACTTTAGAATTTTTTAAATGCTCTATATTATATTAGAGACAAATAAAAATGTGAACAACTCGAGTCAATTAATTATGACGAGTTAGGATAAACAAATAAAACCAAATAAAGTCCATAAAAAGTGATCAAACTGAAAAAAATAAATAAATAAAAAGGAGAAAAGAAGTACATAAAGCGTGAAGTAAGAAAATTGCAGATAATAAAAGAATTTTCTTAATTCTGCAAGTCCTATTAGGTAAAAACCAGGAGACTAGGGAGCCTTGTCTAAACCTTCAGTCGAGTGACGACGATGGACTCCTCCGACGCCGGCGGTGCCTCTCTGGCTTCAGGTCCCGACGGAACTAAGCGGCGCGTGACATATTTCTACGAGCCGAACATAGGCGACTACTACTATGGACAAGGCCACCCCATGAAACCCCACCGCATTCGCATGGCCCACAATCTCATCGTCCACTACTCTCTTCACCGGAAAATGGAAATCAACCGCCCCTTCCCGGCCAAGCGAGACGACATCCGCCGCTTCCATTCTCAGGAATACGTCGACTTCCTCTCCAGTGTTACGCCGGTCACTGTTCACGACCATACCCACTCGCGTCATCTCAAGAGGTTCAATGTCGGCGAGGACTGCCCTGTTTTCGACGGGCTTTTTGAGTTTTGTCAGGCATCCGCCGGCGGATCGATTGGCGCCGCCGTTAAACTCAACCGGCAAGATGCTGATATAGCCATCAATTGGGCTGGTGGACTTCATCATGCTAAGAAAAGTGAGGCTTCTGGTTTTTGTTATGTCAATGACATTGTTCTTGGCATCCTCGAGCTCCTCAAAGTCCACAGGGTAATAACTCTTAAAACCTTATGAAATGATTCTTATTTTTCAAAGTTGTTTTTCTTTTTTGGTTATGTTTGGAAGTTGTTAATAGGGGTAGATTCATATTTGCTACAAAATGCAGGGAATTTAGTAAAAGATTGGATTTTTGGTTGCATGGTTTTACAGTTGAATAAAAAATATTTAGGACCATTTGTGTAATTTAACTTTGGGTAGATTGTACTCATGCAAACACGTATGCTTTGATAAATGCTTGAGTAAGGCACAATTGCGGTATATATTTTGATGTTTTGGCTGATTGTGGGATGTGGGATCAAGCTATTTTGTGGAGTTATGATCTTATTTTTGTTTGTCTTTCTGTTTTGATTCATCGGTTGAGGTTTAGATGATTTAAGATTTTTTTTCCTTGCTAAGTCATCTAGGTTGATTGTTGGTAAATTGGTAAAGATTTTTTTCCTTTTGGTGATATTATTTTTGTTTGTGCTTCTGTTTTGATTCATTGGTTGAGGTTTAGGTGATTTAAGATTTTTCTTGCTAAGTCATCTAGGTTGATTGTTGGTAAATTGGTGGGGGTTTTTTTTTTTTTTGGTGGTAAGCAGAACATTGAAGGGAATTGAGAGTGTGAGAATTGAATTGTGAACTAACACAAGGAGAAAAGACCCTTAATTATGGAGGGAGTCTATCCATAGCAATAATTTACAACGCTTTGTATGTGGTTTTAACAAAGGGATATGATATATAGGTAAAGGCAATGAATAGCAAGAGCAACTTTAGTGGGACAAAAATTCAGATTCCTTCTAGTAATGCAAAATGTGATCTTCCTTATTGATCAATGAATTGAGACATACAGAAATTATTTCTGTGTGAATTAATTCTTCTTTTCACTTCAAGTTTTTGTATGGAACTTGCATGGGCTTGAATACGACATTCTTCACATTTGCAGTATGTTTTTGCTTATTAGTATGTCATGTGGGAATTAAACAAGGATCATGTAATTACCCAGATGACAGTTAACTCTGTCATGTTTAACAGGGAGCACTCATTTCATTTTTGTTTTACTTTTACTTATGGAGCATCTGTGTGCCTGATTTCATCAGCAGTTCTTATCTAGCAGAAATTTCTATTCTTTGCTATTTCATGAAGACAACTGAAATATGAAAGATTGCCTTAACTCTAGGTTGTTGTCTTCTGGTTTGTTATTATATCTTCTTTCATGTGAAATGCTCAATAGGCTGATATAACAATGAAAATCCATATTATGATATCCATTTTCTTGAAGCGATTCTTTTCTGGTACTTTTCCTTTAAATGTAGCTTCTAGCTTTGCACAGGTGTTCCTCTGATTTGCCCTTTGTCATTTGTGCAGCGTGTATTATATATAGATATTGACATCCACCACGGAGATGGTGTTGAGGAGGCATTTTTCACCACTGACAGAGTAATGACTGTGTCTTTCCATAAATTTGGGGACTTTTTCCCTGGTACGGGGCACATTAAAGATCTTGGGGTGGGTCAGGGGAAGTACTATGCCCTTAATGTCCCATTAAATGATGGAATGGATGATGGGAGTTTCCGTGATTTATTCCGTCCTGTCATCCAAAAGGTTATGGAGGTCTATCAGCCCGATGCAGTTGTTCTTCAATGTGGAGCAGATTCCCTGGCTGGCGACAGGTTGGGTTGCTTCAACTTATCTGTTAAAGGTCATGCAGACTGCCTACGTTTCCTTAGATCTTTCAATGTCCCTTTAATGGTTCTAGGTGGGGGAGGTTATACAATTCGCAATGTTGCACGCTGCTGGTGCTATGAGGTCTCTCTCTCTCACTTCTCCCTGCCATTAGATCCATGCCCTATATTTTTCGTTGGCATCTGTGTTTGATAGTCTGTTTTAGAAAATCATTACTTCTGGAAAAGTTTTGTGATATTCTGAAGTTTCATGGTTGTTCCAGAATATGACTGAAGTTTAATATTGTATACTTCCAGACAGCAGTTGCAGTTGGCATAGAACCTGATAATAACTTACCTTACAATGAGTATTACGAGTACTTTGGCCCAGATTACACTCTTCATGTGGAACCAAGCCTCATGGAGAACAAAAATTCAGCCCGGGATTTGGAAAGAATCAGGTAACTTTAGCAACGCCTTTTTGTTGTAAATTCTTTTTCTTGATACTGCTGCTCTAACTTTGGTATTTTGCTTAATGGCTTTATAGCTTTTGTTTCTGCTAGCCATGGAGTTTGGATAGGTAGTGTATAAATGTTATCAAATGGATATAGACATCGGTACCATGTTGTTAACAGTTCTAGTTCTGGGAGCACCCTCAGTTGGATCTATTTGAGATTGCGAAGGAGGATGATAGCATTTGGCATGTCAAAGTGACAATGAAATGCTGGAAGTTAGTGAGCTTGCTTTGAGATTTTAACACATAATAAATGGGTTGCTATGCGTTGGCCTATTTCATACAGTTAACTTTTTTTTTGAAATATAAAAGATTTTTTTTTCTTTTTTTTTTGTAGCAATGCCTAGTATATCTCTTAGATTTTACTTTGAAAGTTCCTATAAATTAAACATTCTCAATAAACTCAAGAGTCAAGGATGCAGGATATGTTGATATTTTAAAATTCGATCTATTTGTGTAATTTACTTCAGAATTCAAGTGTTCATTGGATAGATAGTAAATTCAAGTTTCTGATAAGGATGTGTGAGAGCAAAACAGATAATATATTTGTTAATGTTGGTAAATTTGAGATAAAGGTATCCAATCGAACTACTTATAGAAGTCATGCCAGCAAATGAAACTTGATGGAATGTAAATGAGTCGTGGCACACTACTAATTTAACTATTGACTGGAAGCCATGATGTAGCCTCTCATCAGTTTTGATTCTTGTGCAAACCCATAATTTTGGTGTGATGCGCTTAATATGGGATTTAGGAGAAATTGAGATTAGGCATGTTTTTTCAACCATCTGAACTAAATATAGGATAATCTGAGCCCTCTTACTCCACAATGACCTTCTTGCCCACTGTGCATGGGGCAGAAGCTATCCTTCCAAAACCCTTGAACCATATCTCTCTGTCACAAGTAGTTTACTTCCGTTTCAGCCACAACTGGGCATTAAAAGGATATACATATGTATACATTAGACATGCAAACTTATATTAACATACATTATGCATGCCTATGTTAATACATTTTATGGGTGATTAATGCCTATTTTAATTTCATATGTATTAAATATGCATTGTTATGCAGCCCAATACATAGTGACAAATATGTACATGTTCTCTATAAGAAGCCACAATGAGGAAGAAGAGAAAATGGTTACTGTAAAAAAAACGTGCTAATAGGATGTTCTGGGCAGGTCCAAAGCTTGCCCTGCCCAAGGATAGCCTCATCCAACTAGTCCTGTCATAAAATGCTTAGATTTGGTCATGGGCCCAGTTGTTGAAAACCAGTGGAAGTTGCTCGTGACCAATCATTACTACTCATCTGGTACCTTTATCCTTATATGGATATTACTAAATTGGTGTTTTTTGCCCCCAAGAAAAAAATTTAGGTTGTTGTAGGTTTACTGTCCTTAGTGAAAATCTGGTCCATGAAGTTTTCAATACTTATACCAGCCTGTAAAAATCTTTCCATCTCTAGTTGGCTTTTTTCTTGCCTTGTCTACTCTTGATGTTTGATTACATCATTGGATTAGCTATATGTATGGTTTGCTATATTGCTTTGTTCTATTATTGATGTGTCTTCCTTGTGTGCTCTACTATGCTTATGCATCTTATATTCTTTCTCATTTTGCATGTGGATCAGCAAAACCTCCAATTCTCTCTGAACTCGCATGACTGTTTGGTGTCTGTGCATTCTGTTTCAGGAATATGTTACTTGAGCAGCTTACAAAATTGACTCATGCACCAAGTGTACAATTCCAAACAACACCTCCCATTACAGAAGCTCCGGAAGTGGTTAGTAGTGTTACGCAGATGTCTAAAAAATTGCTTTTTTTTTTTTTTAAAGTCAGTACAATCGTCTTTCCACCTTATCTTATATGATCGAGGGTTTCTGAATAGGCTGAGCAAAGCATGGATCAAAGGCCACAACCTCGGATCTGGAATGGTGAAAATTATGAATCTGATAGTGATGAAGATGAAAAGCCTCGACACCGTAGCATAAATAGCAATGTTACACCAATGACAGATGCTGACATGAGGTAGTCACTCCAAGCATTCTTTCCTTGTCTGAAATGATTAGCTATGGGCACCGAAAGTCCCTAACTGGGACAAATATTTTACTCTTCATTGTAGAGTTGGTACAACTTGCCACACCAAAAAGAAAAAAAATAAGGAAGATGTAGAAGAAGAAGTGTTTTAACTTGATAAAATGACTAACTCCTGTATATTTGACGTTCATTCCTTTGCTAGTATTCGTTTCAGAATGTCTCGTTTGGTCTGGCTACTAAGTTATTCCTTTTTTTTTTGTCTTGAATTTACTTTAATCACTTACACCTCTTCGGTGTTTCTTTAAACTGTTGCTCACACGGTATCGTGCATTAGTTTTAATTTCCCTTCAACTAAGCTAGAGTGGCTGTTTCTGAATCAGGGATATATCTGATTAAGTCAAAGAAAGAGGATACGGAACGTACAGTTGCCTGTTCCAAATGATTTCAGGCCGTGCATACAATAGTTTTCTGCAGTGCTGTTTGCTGCTGGTTGAATGCAGTATGGGAGGAGTAGCTGAAGATGTAAACATTTGTTCTATATCTGTTATTTATCCTTCATTCGCTCTTTGTTGGACATTCTTATCTAACCAGTCGTGTAGGTCAGACACATTGAGAACATACAGATGCAGCTCTGCCGGTTTAGGACCAATTTTGTGTTGTTAAATTGTGGATTACTTTGTCTAGGTTACATTACAGGATGCCAACGGCACATATATATATAGACCTCCCATTGCGGCAACAGTTGTACAAGGTGTTACAAACTTCTGCGGTTTGTGAACTATGTTGTTTTTAGGACAGGACTAGCCCCCAAAATCTTGTACCCCACCAACCACCACCCCCAAAAATTCTCCTCTCTCACAGACACACACAGGTACACGCTGCTTTGGGTTGGATATGCTCTATGCAAAGCGATGGTTCAGTTCAAATTTGTTTGCCCCTTTAGCTCTTCCTTCCTCCTGTGAAAGTTTGGAGGAAAAGGGGACTCTTAATGATGTTTGTTTAGACTTTGTAGTTATATTTTCGCTCAAAAAAAAGGAGGACTTTGTAGTTATATTTTTAGGGTCACATTCTTTCATGTCGGTGGAATTCGTTAGTAATGACGAAAACAAATTTAGGAATAAATTGAAGATTGTTAAAAGCTTAGCTAATATATGTGCTCTTCTTTAGATTGTTGTTAACAGTAGATCCCGGAGTGTTTCGTTGTTTAGGACAAAGGGTCTGTTCTCATCTATTTTCTGGGCTTATTTTTCAGATTTTGATTTTAAAATCATGTTTTTTGACTTGCTCTTCAGGTTCTGACTTTAGAATGATGTTCTTAACTGTTTCATCTTTCTACTTCTGCCATTTAGATTTTTAGAATGGTGTTCTCTACTACTTCATTTTTCTACTTTTGCCTTTCTTTTTAAAAAATAGAATGGTGTTCTGAACCGCATCTTCTTTTTACTCTATTTGGATTTATCAATTTTTCAAAAATTAGTTTTTCAAATATTATAAAAAATTTTAAAAATTACTCTAAAAGGTACTCTAAAAAATAGTTTAATTTTTTTTAATATTTAAAAAATATCTCAAAATATATTCTAAAAACTCTTAAACTCTTAAATATTTCAAAATATTTTCTAAAAATATCTCAAAATATACCGTAAAAACTCTGGTACAATAAAAAATTTTAAAAACACTTCCAAAAATAGCTAATCCAAACGGAGCCTTTAGCTTTTGGTTTTTCTAAAGTTCAAAGAAAAATTAAAATTAGAAATTACAAGGTACCTGCTGTGATTTTGAATCTGTGATTTTGAAACAAATGAAATGGAAATAACACTGACAATGATAAGGAAAAAGTGTGTAAAAAAAAAAAAAAAAGGAAAGAGAGAGAGTGAGAGAGACGACGTCGTCTGGCAGCATTTGACTCAAGAATGAAAGAGAAACAGAGAGAGAGGTTCCATCTGGTTTTGGTGGCTAATCTCTAATGGCTGCTTCAACCATCAACCTATCTCTACTTTCTCAAACCTTCTCGTCCCTTCAAATCCACCCTTTGCTCACCAAACCCTCCCTCCAATTTCCCCTTCAAAACCCTCCTCTCATACTCAAACCCCACCTCAGGATCCAATCCCAGAAATCCCACATCACAAATCCCCAAACCAAGCAACCAATTCACGATAATTCCTATCCTGATGACGATGGAGTCCCAATTGAACACGTGAAAATGCTAGTCAAATTCAAGTCACGCCACAATTACATACGGATTCTTGAAGTTTCAAGAAAAGCAGACCATCCACTAGCAGGGTCCAGACTGCTTTTGCTTGATGCTCCTGGCAATATCCACAGCATATCTTACTTGTTCAAATCACTGACCAATGCTTATTTTGATGTTTTTGCGACAATCCCACCAATCATTCCTCCTGGACCAATTGGAATTCTTGGTTTTGGGGCAGGTTCAGCAGCTAGGATTCTTCTGGAAATGTACCCACAAGTAGCTATTCACGGTTGGGAGCTGGACCCTTCAGTAATTTCAGTCGGGAGGCAATATTTTGGGCTGGAAAAGCTTGAAAAAGATCATCAAGATCGGCTGTTTATTTACATTGGGAATGCTTTAAATGCTAGTTTGAGAGATGGGTTTTCAGGGATTTTGGTTGATTTGTTCAGTAAAGGGTGCGTGATACCTGAACTTCAAGCTCCACAAACATGGGAGAAGCTGAAGGGATGCTTGAGAGAAGGTGGGAGAATAATGGTGAATGTTGGTGGGAGCTGTGTTGAGCCAGATGATATCAGAAAAGATGGGAAAGTGATAATGGAAGAGACTTTGGAGGCTATGAATAAGGCGTTTCCTGGTGAGGTTTTTGTGCTGAATCTTGGAAATAGAAAGGATGATAGCACAGTTGCACTTACTGGTAAATTGCCTAATTTGGTTGAGTGGAAAAAAGCAGTTCCAAGGCCTTTGAAGTTTTATATTGAAATGTGGAAACCCTATAGAGCTTAATTTGATTTTTTTTTTTTTTGTTAATTTTCTTCTAATAGATTTGTACTGGCAATTGGAATCAATGATTTTTGTAGAGATGAAATGTAGTACCATCGTTGAGTATGAAAGAGGTTGGAATGTGATTTTTGTGCCAGATTTTAGTGCATGTTTTCTTCCTTGCTATTTTTTAGAGTTTTTGTAGAAAAATGCACTGTAGCAATTTGATATGAATTAATTTTTTATGCACTGACAATGTAGTGATTTTTTAACATTAGCAACTTTGGATATATAATAGGGATGACAATGGGGGCCCGCGGGGGGTTAATGGGGAGGGTGTTGGGGCGGGGGCCGGGGGAATATTTTCCCCCCGCTTAGAAACGGGGCGGGGGATGGGGCGAGGGTTTAAAAAAATAATATATAAAATAAATAAATAAATAAATAAATAATTTAATTAGTTACAAACTTATTATAATAATATTATTAGTTATATGTATTATATAATGTCTATTAGTATATATAATATAATTGATATTATTAATTATACTAATAATTATATATGTGTACTAATACAAATTATTAATTGGTTATACTAAATTTACTAATACATTTATACTAAATCCCTAATTACACTTAATACAATAATATTTTTTCTTAAAAAAAGCACAAGCACAATAATGAATTAGTGATTGTATTTGTGCCAAAAGTGAAAACTTGACTACTTTAGTTATATTTATTTCATCATGTTGGATTGTATTCAAATATTTTTTGTTTGATTGTTTATATAAGTTTCAATTGTAAAATTATAATGAATAATAATTTGATGATGTGTTAATATTTTAGTACTTGATTATTTGCTAAAATTTAATCATAATAAAATTATATAACAAATTTTTATTAGCCCCGCGGGTGCCCCCTGGGAGAAGCAGGGCGGGGGGATCGGGGGACGGGGGATGGGGCGAGGGCGGGGGGAGTTTGTAGGCAGCGGGGCGGGGGATGGGGGAGGGGTCTCCCGCCCCAACCCCGCCCCGTTGCCATCCCTAGATATATGTCACATGTGCATGATTTGAATTTCAAATTTAAATTCATGTTTCTAAACCTGCTCATGTAAAAAAAAAAATCTTTATATCGTATCAAAAAGCTATCCATTTGATCGATGTGAAGCAAAAATGTAATTAGAAAATGTATTCATAGAAAATATAAAAATTTGTTATCAGAAAATTGCAATTCAAACACTTTAAATGTTGTTTGGAATGTGATTTTTTATAAAAAAAAGTTTACGTTTCCGTAAACACATTTTTCAGTGATATTTTTATGTTATATACATCAAATCGTTACAGTATTTTTTTTTTATTTTTTAAAAAAGGTTTAAAAATAGCAATCCAAACGGGTTTCTCAGCCAAATCAAAATGAAGAATTGATTGTAGTCCCTCGTAACAGGATACTTGCAAGACTTACCATATTTGGGCCATTAAGTAATTTTGTAATTGTTGCTAAATATAAGCATGAAGTTGGACTTGAACTAATTCTGAGTTGAACTTCACAACTGGACTCAGATTGACTGGAGCCCAAACCCTCAAGCCCATTTAGGTACATAAATCAGTATATCACATTAAAGTGTTTTGCTTAAACTACTCACAAAAAATTAAACGGTAAAATACCAAAAAACTCCCTAGGATTTATCAAATATTCAATTTAACTTCCTCTAATTTGGAAACCTACACTATAACTCCCTTTGGTTTCAACTAAATTGAAATTTGGATGGAAAACATTCAATCTAATGGTTGTTTATGAAATACTTTCCGTTCAATTTTCAATTTAATCGAAACTGCGAGGAGCTATAGTGTAGTTTTTCAAACTAAAGGAAACTAAATTGAATATTTATAAACTACCAGGAGTTCATTTATACTAGGGGGGGAATATTGACATTTCACGTACAATCGTTGGATGCTTTCGGACCAATTTTTAATTTAGTTGAAATCACAAGGAGCTATAGTGTAGGTTTTCAAATCAGATGGAATTAAATTGAATATTTGACAAATCACAGAGAGTTTTTTAGTATTTTACCCAAAATTAAAAACAAAAACAAAATTAAAGCTTTTAAAACAAGAGAGTAGTATTTGCAAGCTAGCCTAAGTTTGAATAACTTGACCTTTTCTTTGCTTTATTATTTGCAGAGGCTGAATGAACATAGAGATTAAAAACGAAAGAAAAAACCAAAAGTTCTTACTATCAAGTATCACAAGTTATGATCTGGTCATACACGAAAACAACTTACAATTTTAAAGAAATAAAAAAGCCCCTTATGATTTAGATTGAAACTTCACAAATTAGAGGTTTTGAATTTAATTCTTTTCTTCATTTATCTCGCTTCCTAAAATCCCACATCTCACCCGTTAAAAATATAAAATTTTCCTAACATCAAGTATATAATTTCAAGAAAAGGTAGATGCTGTGTCGAAAATGAAAACCATATCCAAAATATGAGAATTGAGAGCCAATATTGGTCAAATTTTGATGTTTAATGGCAACTATAACTTAAAAGTAGGGGCAGCATTATGGAGAATTTTCAAAGGAGTTGAGTTCTCAAATTGTCAAAACATCCAACGGTAAGTTACAGTCTGGCAGAACTGGAGATAATAAAATGTTGTTGTTACTTCTCCTCTCAGCCAGCCCTTTCCAAGATCCAGCCTAAAATCCAAGAGCTTTAGCCACTTCTAATGTTGTTAAATCTCGATTGTTACTTAGGTCCTTTATTTGACAAGCCAACGTTTGGTGATTTTAGAGCTGAATTGTTCTCCCATTTTGACCACTTCAATTGAAAATCGTTTGCGTATGGCCAGTGGGGTTGCTATGAATTCTCTGATATTGGTCAAGTTCAAACTCGATCAAGAATTTCTAAAAAGCCACAAAACTAGAAATACTTGGGGAAACCAACCAAAAAAAAATGATGGAATAAAATCTTTGAATAGGTGAACTAGCTGAATTATGTATAAGAACGCCAAGAAACTCCTTGGAACTTAACAAAAACTGGTGAAACTGAATTAAATCAATAAT